AGAGGCGTGTGGTTTTGGAGAAACCACCATTGAGTTCAGTGGCAGGAAAAGTGTCGACCATCTCAGTTACGCATGACTCTTGTACTTGTTTCCGCTGTTTTCGCCCCGGACACCTTGCCCATGACTGTCAAGCAGCTACCACAAGCAACGGATCAGGACAATCTCATTCCTCTGGGCTTGCATCAAGTAGTTAATGCTGATACTGAACAGTGTTTGGACTCGATGTTGAATAATTTTCAGGACATGTGTCAATTAATGGAGCAACAGGTTTTGGAGCCAGTATCTTCCGTACAGGTTAAAGGTAGACTTAAGGAGAACATTGTGTTTTAGAAGGACAATGGGATGTCTAAATGGGTACTAAGCATTATAGTTCAGAGGAGTTTTCAGAATCCTCCTAGTGTTGTTCAGAACCAGGACTTTCTGTGCCAAGAACTTAAGAAACTTGTAGCCTCTGGTGTGGTGGTGGAGGTGATGCAGGAAAATGTGTTGGTTGTTAATCCATTGGGCATTGTGTCTCGCTTGACAGGCTCCCTGGTTTCTATGTCACCTGCCATGGGTCCAGTTGTACGTCTTTGGACATGAGCAATGTACAGAGACATTTGCCTAGCCCCTTGTTGGGATCAGCCAATATGTTTGTCTTCTGACAGTCGCTCGGAGGTGCTTTTTTGGCAACAGAACTTTGACAACAGCGGGTATCTGATCTGGGCACCTAGCCCTAAAGTTGAGGTCTTAACATGTTCAGATACTAGCGGTCTAGGTTGGGGAGGCTTTGCCATTCACATTAATGGTAAACCAACTGTGGGAAGCTGGTCAGAGGAAGAGAGTGGCAAGAGCTCTACATTCCGAGAGTTAAGAGCCATACAGTATGTGTTGGAGTTGTACAGTGAAGACCTTTGTGGGAAAGAGGTGTGTCACAGGACTGACAACAGGAACGCAGAGTTCATAATCTCTGTTGGTAATAGATTACCAGACCTTTGTAAGGAGGCCGTGTCAGTTTGCAAACTTTGTTGTGAGTTAAACATTCAGCTATCTGTGGAGTGGGTCAGTAGAAATGATAACAGTACTGCTGATGAGCTTCCAAGAGTGGAGGATGCTACTGACTACATTCTGGATTCCAAGTGCTTTTGTTATATTGATCAGTTATGGGGATCTCATACCGTCAACAGATTTGCCAGCATTAAAACTAAACAGCTGGACAGGTATTGCATTCAATACCGCAACCCTGGTTGTGAGGCTAGTAATGTGTTTACAGTTTCCTGGTCATCGCATAACAATTGGAATTTTCCACCTCCCCTGCTTATTCCAAAGGTTCTGAGACACCTCTGCCGGCCTTGAGTATGGTACACTGCTCCAGAGTGGCCTTCTGCAGTGTGGTGGCCTCTCCTTGTTGACAGGTCTGGACCTTAGAAAGGCTTTGTGAAGGACTGTTTGCGGATTGAATCTCACGAGGGAATCTTCCTCTCAGGGTCTGCAGCCAGCAGTATTTTCACTTCTGGAATTCCATCATTTGCTGTTTAAGCCTTTAGGATTTGTTTTGTGATATGGTGGGAAGCACCTGATGTGCTGTTGTGGCATTGCTCTGCCAAGGGAGTGTACCCCTATGCTGGTCAAGTATGGGGTATACATTTGTAGTGACGAAGTATGTTGTTAGGGAATGTCACTGATGCTGTTATGGCATGTTAGGCTTTTCTAGTGACAGAAGCTGTTAGGGCATGTCTCTATGTCGTTACGGCTATCTTCTCTGCAGTTAGGGCTAGGCTAATGCTGCGGTGGCATTTTCTGTGTTGTTGTTGTTAGGGCATGTTACATATCATTATTAGTATGTGATATCTGTACATGCTGTTCGCAGATGTTTTTGTGCCAAGCATCTTGCTGTTTATTTGTGGAATTGTGATTGATGATGTTTGGGCAGCATGCCTCGTAACTTACTTAGCATTCCTTGAGTTGGGCCTCTGTGAAACAACTAGCTGTCGGCTTACAATTATGTTTTGTTCCTTACACTGTCATGTTATGTGATTTCAGTGCCCAGTGGCAACACTGGCAAGTTGGACCTGTCATTTTGGTACCTGTGGATGGACTGCAACATCCACTGCTGCATCAGCTGGCCAAGGGGTTGCCCTCAGTTCGGCTTCAAGATAAAGCTCCAAAGACAGTCAACAGTTATCTCCATGAGTTTGGGGCGTAGAAGTGTTGGGCAGAGCAGTGCCGTGTGTCAGCTCTATCAGTGGAGCCAGTGGTATTCTCCCTGTATCCAGTTAAGTTGATGCACGAGAACAAGTCAGTTTCTATCATTGACTCTGCTTTGTATGGAGTGAGCTGGGTACAGAAGAAGGTAGGTCACCCACAAGTCACTGAGAATCCTTTCGTGACCCAGGTGGCAGATGCTGCTGCACGCAAGAAAACCCTTACGGCAGATCAAGTGATGCACATTATATTTCGTTTAGAGAAGGGCAGTCTGGCAGATGTACAAGTTGCAGCGATATTTGCCATGGGGTTTTTTGGTTTCTTATGGTGGGATGATTTAAGCAATCCGGCAGTGGATGATCTGTTATTTGCTGATTCACATGTTGCAGTCTGTTTGCTCCAACATAAGAATGACCAATTCCAGGAAAGGTCATGGGTCTTCATTGCAAGAAGTGAAGCAGCCCCTTGCCCGGTGGCAGTGTTTCTTAAGATGGGCAGTCATTCCGAGGGGTCACGGCTGTTTTGCAGGATCCAGAGCACAACGAGAGGCCAGGTGCTTAAGCACCCATGTTGTGTTCTCATGCGAGCAAGCTGGTACAGAAAGCATTGAAGAGTGAGGGGTTGGACCCAAGCTTGTATAGTCTTCACAGCCTCCAGTGAGGGGTGCTTCATCTGCTGCAGCACTTGAGATTCCAAATCACCTACTCCAGAGGCAGGGAGGATGGAGAAGCGCTCGGGCAAAAAACAATCATATCTAGGAATCATTAGACTCCTTGCTGCTAGTTATGAGGAAGATTCATGGCTCAAGTTGAAAACTGTTTGTTAAGTGGCCTCTTAATGTGGGAGATCTTTATAGACATTGGAACATTTAAGGATTAAATGATTAAAGATTTAAAGATAAATTAAGGATTTGAGGATCCAGACTTGCTTGCTGCATGGACAATATGCATTGTTAAGAACTTCTGATGTTACACTTTCCATAGTATCGCAGACTAACATAGGCTGGTTGTTTGTGCCTTTGTGATGCTGGGCTCTCTATGCTTTGTAATTTGCGGCGGTCAGCTTAACAAAGGCTCCCAGAGGTGTGTGAGAAATTGTATTTTCCACTGGCTGAGGAACAAAATAAGTGGAAAATGTTCTCTCACACACCACTGGGGCCTAGGCCTCAGGGGTTGTTTTTTGCTCAGTGTTGTTTGTCAGTTGCTTTTTTGCTGTCCGCTATTGCTGGCAAATATTTCAGAGCCCCAGTTCCCACCCAACCCTTCATTTGAGTTGATAGCATACACTCTGTTAGTTAGATATTCTTTTTAAGATTTTCAGCATAGAGTCTTACTAGGCTTATATCTTTTGTTTCATATTACTGTATTTTTGCCTACATTACGTATAATGTTAGGCTGAATTGGTTAGATAAAAGAGTCAATTGGCAGTGGTCAGCTTGACAATGGCCCCCAGAGGTGAGTGAGAAATAAACTTTACCTGGAAAACTGGACACCAATATCCCTTCTTAAGACTGACTACAAAATAGCAACAAAGACTATACCAGGTAGAATTTCCAAAGCTCTTCCCAAACTAATACATGAAGACCAAACCAGATATGTTAGACTGACACATTGGCCAAAACATAAGGCTAGTTAAAGACATAAAGAAAATAACAACCTTAGAAAACATTCCCGCCATGGCAATTTTCATCGATTTTAAAAAAGCCTTTGATTCAGTGGATTGAAATTTCTTCGCTGGATTAAGATGTTCTAAACCAATATCGAAATACAGAGAATACTCAGAATACAAGATGCTGATACAAAGGCTATTAAATTTGGCCTGAAAGTTTTAGAAGGATAGAAAAGACATTCCACTTTCCAGCAGTTTCAGGACATGACATCCTTGGCAATAACAGATTTCATCAATCTAAGCAAACCCGACTGCCATGTCTGCTCTTTGCCCAGCATTGGGAGAAATGAATACTGCAGGGTTCATCAGCTGAGGCATCACCTGCTATTTAAGAAAGCACCTAAACAAATGTTCAGGGAAATGTCTTTGCGCAAGAAAACATCCCATTTTCACCACAGTCCTGTGTGCACAGTATAAATTTCAGGTTGATACTTCACCAACTGCTCTTTCAGATTACATTCCAAGTCAAAATTAAAACTTTGATTAAATGGTGAAATTATTTTGCAAACAGACTTTTGATTTAGATTGCTGATTTGAACAGTGCATTGTTTCCCCCAGACCGTGCCATTGCGGGAATTCTGTGTTGCAATCAGAGATGGCCCCCCAAAAAACGAAAAAAGGGCCTATTTGGCCCTTTCCTTTTATAAGGCTGCAGGCTTAACATAAGCATAGTATTTTAAAAGCCATCCCAGGACTCGAAATTGCGACTGATATGGTCGCAATGCAACTAACATTTAATCCTTGGTGACCAAAAATTCTGGTTTAGTCGCCATGATAGCGACTACATTTGTGTTAACGATCAATAATGGTTATTTTCTCACACATTACGTCCTTCGAGAAAACCATATTGAAATATATTCGCTTCTAAAACATTCAACATAAGTCAATTAATCCTTTTGCTTTGCTGTATTGATTCCCTCACATTTGAAAAGTTGAAAATGGCTGACCATGTTTGAAATCACCCTATAATGCATTACAAACCTTTGATCATTGACTACGTCATGTATGCCTAGAGATTGCTCTCTAGTAACGCACAGATCCTTCTTACTAGTATCTGGTGCCCAAACAATTTGCATTTGGCAACTATTTTTAACCAACTATTATTTATTGGCCACTTTCCTAAAAAATTGGCCCCTACAAGAGGGCTCCAGGGACCACTTATGCCATCAAGTAAAATTTTCTGGCTGAAACACTGCAGTGTTAAGGACGGTGCCTACTAAATACAAAAGTTTTTGTGCTAGATTAGGACCATGTGGAAAAAGTAGATCTTTGCAAGGGCTGGGGGACAGACACGATTATTTAGGAATTTATCCATGGTCAAGAAAGTCAACAATCCAACCAGGAACACTGGACAATCCAGAAGCCCTTCCTGTGTACACTATTCCCAGAGTTATTTGAACCATAGGACACAGGACATGGAATGCCCTAGGAGGCCCTCCCATGAATGGCACATTCCCAGTTATTTGAACGATTGTATAGTAGACAAGGTTGCTGAATACTCAGTGCTTGGTTAGACTCACATACAGACCTCTCAAGTCTCACAATTTTGTCGTGAGACTCACGGTTTTCAGTTCAATCTCATGGTCTCATGACGAGACAGACAAATCTCACGATAAATAGAGGTGCACACTGAAAGGATAAATTTTTGTATAATTTCATTTTTGGCTTGCTTAAGTGAGCTTCTTGTGCCAATTCTGTGCAAATCCATGGTTAAACTTAACAAACTTGTTCAGTTCTTCATTCATTTGTTTGCTAGAAATACAGTCCATGACAGACAGTCCATGACCATATATAGAACACCTGTTCCAAATTAGGTCATCATTACCAGACTCTTGCATTTTGTTCACGTTTTCAGAATGGCGGAAATTGCTGATGAACCTGATGAATATTTATCAGACGAAGAGAGAGGTTCAGTTTCAAACACAAAGGGAAAAGGCAGCAGCAGAGGTGCAGTGAAATATAGAACCAAGTTCAAAACAGAATGGGAAGGTTTGTATCCAGTTAAACATGTTCAAAGCAATCCATATTTGTTTTTTAGTGTGTTCCTTGCAATAAACATGTTCGGTGCAATCACCAAGGATTAAAAGATGTTTAAGTCCACTGTGAGAGAGAATTGCACAAAATGGTCGTTGCACAGTCGAAAACAAGCAAACAAATTTCACAGTTTTTCATAGCAGCCAGCCCTACATCAACAGATGTAATAAAAGCATAGGTAATGGTTACAAACTTCTTGATACAACATGATTTACCAATTGCTACAGTAGGCCATCTTGGACCACTCTTTAAAACTATTTTCCCAGCTGCAATTATCAATAAGGCTATGAGATGCCACTGCCATCAATAAATAGTTGAACACTGCAAAAATCACCCATTTAGTCTTGGAATTGATGGATCTAGTGACAGTAATGTCAAGAAAATGAATCCAGTGACGATAAAACTGTTTGATATGGACAAGTTAAAATGTGTGACAAACCACTTCTATGGCATGTGTGTCACAACTGGTCGTGATGCATCCAAAGTAGAAGAAATCTTTAATACTGTCTAGGAGAATTTCAGGGCTGACAGTATCCCTTGGGCCAACGCAGTAAGCCTTAGTGTTGACAACACTAACTCCATGATCAGAAAGAACAATTTCTTCGCCTCTCAATGTAGGCAAAGAATCCAGATATTTTTGTTAGTGGTTGCCCCTCTCATCTGGTGCACGTTGCTACCAGTAAAGGCCATGACTCTTTTGCAAAAGTAATTGGTGCGAACATTGAAGATTTGTACATTGATCTCTACTACTGGTTTGAAAAAAGCAGCAAGAGAAAAGGGGTATTACTTGAATATGTGGAGTTTTGTGGACATGAGTATGCCAAAATATTGAAACGTGTCAACAAGGTGGCTGTCATTGGAAAGGTGTGTGCAGTGAGCACTTGGAAAGTACAGTGGACTCAAGTCATTTTTTTTGTGAGTGAAGAGTTTGCTGACCAAAGATTTTCAAGGCTGCGAGACACTTTCACTAATCCTCTAACATAAGTTGCTCTGCTATTTCAACATGCATCAATTCCACTTTTCAACAACTTCAACAAACTGTCGCAATCTGAGGAGCCTATCATTCACATGCTCCATGATTCCACCATACAACTGGCACGGTCTCTGGCCAACAGGATCATTACGCCACAAGTTCTAAGGGATACACCAGTTACAGAACTGAATTTGGATGATCCCAACATTTATAAGAACACTCAATCTTTATGGGGGTTACGACAAAGTTCAAGCTTCAAAAACTTCTCAATGATGGAGACATTAGTGAGAGGCAGCATTCCCAGGAATTTAAAGCAGCCCAAGCCTATTTTAAGGACTCCCTCAGTTACATTTTGATAAAAATTTCCCCTGTCAAATGAACTAATTATTAAAACAGGATGGATTGATGTAGGAAGCAGAATAAATTCAAAGTGGGAGAACATGGAATTTTTCATAAACAGATTTAAAGCTATTTTT